CAGAAGTTGGCCAACACCTTCACGAGCGACGCTGACCGGAGATCGTTCTCGAGATGGAAACAATGCCGCTACATCATCGTTTACGACGCTGCTACACTTGACATGAAAGATGCGGCGACAATGATCAATGTGTTGAACAAGTTTACAGCTGAGGGATGGAACGGCGAAGGTTCGATCCTTCGGGGTGGGTTCAAGGACTTCTCCAATCAGTTTACTGCGCTTGTTCAGCAGCCTCAATCATCAACCCCTGGAGTATCTTCAAGGAAGCTTAACTCGATGCAGATTAGCCTTCCATCTTTTGCGCCTATTGCTGGTGGCTGTGCTTTGCCGGAGTCTTCTTCTGCCGCCATTCCCTTCTTTGGGAATATTCGCCAGCATATGGATCTTATGGGTGGTGTTGGTCAGATTCCGCTCCAGCTTCCACAGAATTTTACAGACTCCAAAAGACGGTTGCTTCCACGATGGCTCCGTGACGCTTCCGACGTTGAAGATGGAGGTCAGAAGGTTTCAGAGAAGTTCCTGGAGCTCGAGAAGAAGGAATTAGACCGGATGAAGCAAGCTCTGTCATATGAAATGACCGGAGTTTCTACGTCTGCGGAAGCTCCGTCGAAGAAGTATCGGGTTGCCGGGATCGAGAAGGGTAATAAGAACAGATATAATGATATCTATCCCTTCGATCACTCCAGGGTTCGATTGCAGGATGTTCCATCAGGGGGTTGTGATTATGTGAACGCGAATTACATGAAGGCTGAATATAGCAATAAGCGCTATATAGCGACGCAAGCTCCCGTACCCGAAACATTTGATGTGAGTTCATCTATCGATTGACGTCCCTCCTATTCTCCACACGTTCAAGTGAAGATTGCCCACGGGAAGATTGAGACAAGCAGGCTGATGGAGACTTAGGACTTTTGGCGTGTAATCTGGGAGCAAGATGTTCGACTCGTCGTTTCTCTCACGGCAGAAATTGAAAGAGGCCAAGTTAAATGTCACCGGTATTGGGAGTCAGGGAATTATGGGCCTTTTCGAGTCAATAACTTTTCTGAGCGACGCATTCCTATGAAAGCCTCAGGGTCCCGCCGGAACCGGCGTCAGTCGACCAAGTCATTGTCGGATTCTAGCGAAGAGCCCAGCGATCCATGCATTATCGTCAGACACTTTGGCTTGTCACACTCGGCTTTTCCATTTCAACCACTGCGAGAAGTTACCCAGCTGCAATATCCCTATTGGCCGGACTTTGGTACTACCTCACAACCATCACATCTCCTTCAGCTGGTCGATGAATGTAACGCAGTCATACGGGCAACAAGCAATACGTGCTTTGATAGTCGCGAGGCAATGCCAACAGAACATCGACCTGTATTGGTGCATTGCAGTGCAGGATGCGGCCGTACTGGTACCTTCTGTACAGTGGATAGTGTTCTGGACATGCTAAAACGGCAGCGCACTGCACGAAAGACCGAATCACAAGAAATCAGTGGACGCCCTGATACTGGGTGGATTCATAACGATAACCTGGACCTTATTGCAAAGACAGTCGCCGACTTTCGAACTCAGCGACCTAGCATGATACAAAATTTGAGCCAGTTTGTCTTATGCTATGAAAGTGTATTAGAGTGGATGGCCATTCAGATGGACGAAGGATGTGAAAATCCTTGACTCAAGCGCTTTCCATTGCTATAACTGGCATCTGCAACAAGCATTGAATCTACTTGGCTCTACGGGTGACTGAGATAGCTATCTCATTCACAATTCCCGTCCGCACATGTTCTTTTATATACACTACTTGGATCTTAGAAAGTTATAACTGATGCAGTGCAAGCAGAAGAGCATATTTTCGGCTGGATTTTTTTATTTTATTTTCATAAACTCATTCCGGTCATTCTCAGGCAGAGAATGGGTTGGCTTGCATATATTTAGAGATATCAGCGGGGATTTGTATTGATTGTGCTCTGGGCTCTGGTAGAGTCGCAATGAAGATAAAAGAAATGGATTTTATGGCTTTAGTTCTTGACAGACAGGTAAGGGAGCATATAAGCCAACTTACTGCACATATCACTGCTAGATATGTTCTGGATATACCCCAGGGCTCTGATGCCTAAAGTGCTGCCTGAGGACGACTGCGTATGGTATTCTTAAAGATTCACAACCAGGCAACAATGGCGGGCGGTGATACTAAGATCAATGGGATCAAGGCAGCCCCCACCCAGAGCCTCTCGTTTTCCGAGACCTATAAATGATATGGTAGTGATGCAAGGCTGATGAACTATGATTTCGTTTTGTACGAGACAATTGCTAGCAGCTTCCTCCAGCTTCTGTCACAGTCGTTCCATCTAAACAGCAACCAAGCTCTGAGCCATGTTGCTCAATCTTCCACCGGAGCTAATCCAGCTTGTCCTTCAAAGTTCGACAACGCCTTCCTTTCTACAGGTGGCATTGTCCTGTCGAGCCCTGCATGAGATTGCATCTAGTAGCCGGGAAGTGATTTTGCATCATCTGCATAAAACACCCGGCTTGAAGGTAGACACACGCAGTCTCAGAACAAGGCAACTTTTTCAGCTCCTCATGAAGCGCTCGTTCCAGCAGCTATATGGTGCACAGTTTTCCGCGAAATGTACAACATTCTGTTTTGAAGATTTCGCGCTCGATGCCCGAGCATCTTCGCTAGCTTCTCATGGTGACCGACGCATCGCTCTCGTTCTGAAAGGTCGGCAAGATGTTTATGTTTTCCAGGCCAAGGACGGGAAGCTGCACCTGAAGGCCCAGCTGAGATCACCTGAGGATCAGCCGGGAAGGATAGAGGTGCTCAAAACAGCATTTGACAGAGAAGGAGGCGTTAACGTCCTTCATCGTCTGGTACCAGCGATAGACGAAGACGGCTTTGGCGCCCCACACCCGTTCGTAAGACATGCGATACGGTCTGGTCCTCGTGTTAGCGTCTATATGGCGCGTCACTCGCTTCAGACACTCAATGAGCCTATTCGCATGTGCGCCTTTCCAGACCATGCGGAGTATGAACCTCTGGCTCTTGCTGCTGCCGGAGAGAGCACATTTGCAATCTCTTGGCAGCACTTCCGTGAGAGCGACGATTATGAGGTTGTTCTGTACAACTCTCCGAAACAGTCGAGCAGCAACACTCCTGATGTAATCGGTACGTTACGCTTCTTTGCTGTCCAGGTTCACCCAGTGCTCCAATATAAGGACAGTCTTGTCATTGGTCATCATCTGATGCAAGTATAGATTGCAATTACAATGCTATCACACTTATCGACGGGAATAGACAGCGACAGAGTAGCGATAGGTATCGTCAAGCGGGTCTGTCCAGCCCTTATGATAACGGCCCTGCCATCGACATTTCCTTCAATGACAGATCGAGCCAGTTGCTCTATTATCACCGCGCTCAAACGTTATATGGTTCCTTTCAGAGAATTCAGAGTATAAATGCGCACCCCCTCGTGGACCCACAGCCAACTCTATATCAGAATGCGTGCATGGTGCAATTCTCGGACACTTTGAGCCTTCTCTTTTCAATTGCGATACCCTTCTTCGGTACACATGCGAGGCGGAATGAGAATAATATTGAAATGTGCCATTGGAAGTACCTTGCCTTTGGTATAGCGACCCATCGGAAGGAGAACTGGACTGTCGCGTGCCTATTGAAATCCGAAGCTCGATGTCAAGCTCAGAACTGTGGGCATGTCTTGAACCTTGACCGTGGGCGACGATTCTCGCAGTGGACAATAGTAGCTCGTCTATGGGGATTTCAGAATCCCACAAATTCTCTTGGTTGTAAAATCGCCGCGTCGGATCGTGGTACTCGCCTTGCTGTCGCAAATTGGAACGTGATTTATGTGTGGGCTCTTGAGCCAAATGCACTTATCGAAGAAAATGCGAATGGATTTTACCCTCCATCCTTTCGATCAACAAGTTCAGAGATGATCGAGCTACGACCGATTGTTCTCCCGCTGGATGCCGTGTGCTTCAAGCTCTGCTTCACGCATCAAGAAGATGAACTGATAGCTATTACAGATCGGGGCGTGATGTACTGGGACCTTGGCCCGTTGGGTAACGGGCAGAGAATCACTCAACGGCTGACTCTCCAATAAGGGAGAAGATTGAAGTGAAAAAATGAGCGGAGGCCTGAAGTTTTGTTTACTGAAGTGAACATGCGAGGAAGGCGACGTTGATACCCCAGGATTTCTCTTTTACAGAACTATATATATTTCGTGGCTAGTTGCCTTTAGAACGAGACGACCATGAGCGCGGAAATCCAGACCAGTAGACACCTATCGGATCATCTACTCTGAGATAGAAAATGCCATCATGCATAATGATACTGGCTCTCCATCTCCTTGTCGAAAAGGACAGGATCGAATGTAGCGTGCCGTTGATTGGTGCAAGAAGAAGCAGAGAACGTTTGCCATGGGATAATGGTACGGTGCTGGAATGGTCGGATACAAATTGACGCTGGTCTACGGCAGACGAGTTCCTGCCACTCGATACATTTACCGATCTTCACCTCCGTGTTCTTTCCAAAGTAACCACTCGCAGCGATGAGATTGAGACAATGCTCTGCATGAAAGATGGATGGAATAGAATAAAGAACAATCAACACGTGGATGTGCCGAGAACGCGGCATCTACGTCTAAACGTTAAAAGGAAGAAGTACGATCTCCACATCAGCTGGGGCTTCTTTGGATGCCCGAGGGCCTAATTGGGAAGACAGGCGTAGACAGAAAATCACGGACGTGCGGATCTGCGTCGTAAGACGAGACGACACTACGCCTCCTCTCCACAAAGCCATAGATGGAGGACTGACCGATACACGGACGGATCAAATGTGGAATTCATTGTCCTTCAGCGCTACCTGACATGGCCAAAAATGTAATAATGAGGAAGACCCACCAATATCTAAGCAGGTGCGAGGTATTGTCAGAATAAGGCCTTTCTTTCGCTGACTGGAGACGCCATAGAAGAATTCGACGGAGGAGACCGAGCACTTACTTCTGGAAAAAGGTCTTCTCAACGACCTCTTCTGGACTCTTCCCATCTGGGCCGACCACAACAGGCCGATTGAGATGCGGACGCGGACCGTCTTCGCTGGATAGGAGTTCTATGTTCAAGCCCGCTGAGCTGGATGTTGCCGCAGACGATGAAGACGCCGCCAATGAAACGTGGTAGACCTCGCCCGAGGGTCCAAGATGAAGCCGCAGAGTTGGCTTTTGAGCCTCACTCTCTGCAAGCAAAGAGAGCGACGTAAGAGAGCCTACCCATTGTTTTGGGTTGGTTGGCGTGGAGGTGAAGAGACCCACGCGGGCGAGATCTTGGGCATCCGCTTCTAAATCACGGCGGCCTTCAAGATCCGCAATCCTTGGTGGAGAGTAGGCTACCACATCTGACGTTAAAGATGCAGGATCGTACGAGATGCGGGCGAGTACCGAGGGTTGAGACGAGGCTACCGGCCAATACAGGATGTCGGCTGACCCAGCTTGAGCGGAGGACGGAGAAGCGGCGAAAGCCCGAGAGGAGAACAGGGAAAGGAATGGGAGGATGGCGTGAGAGAAGTGCATATTAAAAGATGGCGGTAAGGGAGAGGAATATGAAATGTTGGTCAGATTTGCAGTGAAAACAGAGAAGATTGAGGTGAAGCAGATCTATTTATCGCATCATCTGAGGGTGCACCGAGGAGGATTCACTAATGCAGACAAGCACAAAATGAGCATCAAGCATGATAGATCAAGTAGGGAAGGAATCTAATGATGTGAAATTTTAGCTGCATGCATACTCACTATAAATTCTGGAAAGCCAGTATGTGTATCAGTGCTCCTATTCCTGCACAATGGGTGGTTGGCGGTGGTCAACAGGGGAGGTATGGGATGTCGTTAACCTCGCATATGTTATGATGTATTATTTTAGCGCACTGGAGGTACCAAGATAGGGCGGGCCAAATGCTTGGTACTAAGTCACTATTATTATTAAGGTATTATTATTATTTTCATCATGATTATGATTATAATTCCCTTTAATAATAATATGCCTGACATATATTTGCAAAAGTTCTGATTCCAAAAGAAAAAACACTTGGACTAGCATTCAGACTGACCATCTATCTACCGTATCTACTATCTACTCTCCAGGTATCAATAATTACACCCTTCCCATAGAGTTATCAGAATTCATTATATATGCGCCATCGAAGGACGCTGGAGAGACATATAAATAACTTATCTGTCCTGCTCATGTCATGAAGAAGTCAATCTGCCATTGTTGCTTCTAGATAATTTCTTCTGTTGCATAAAACATGATCGCAATTGATATTAAGGCGAAAGGTTGATTGATCAGTTGATCTCAGGATCTTTGTTTCCTTCTTTCTTCCCCCTGCTCAGCTTAGCTGTTCTTTAAAGCGTTCGAAGCATCTATACTTCTGCTGTTATATACATGCTTAGGTGGCTCAGAGGGGTAAGTCAATGATCGACATCCCCACTACCCCGTCTTGATCAACAACCCCCAACGTGGAGCTCAGCCCTCCGCAACAGCTCAGCCGGGCCTGACACCTTGGGCAGGCAACCTCCCAAAATCATAGCCTGGCTATGGGTTGCTTATGACTTCTGGTAACATTCTACCCAGTATGGCTTCGCTGCCGTATCGTTCGTCTAGACAAAGTTCTCGACAGGCTTCAAGGGACGCTCGAGACGAGATTCAGGTCCACCAGGATCATTACATCGGAATAGATGTCGGTACTGGTAGTGCTCGCGCTTGTATTATTGATGCAAAAGGCGATATTGTTGGATTAGCTTCCGAGAATATCGGTCTCTGGCAGCCCCAACAGGGATACTATGTACGTCCGTCCGTCCGCTTGGGCTTCTTCCCTCCTTGCTTCTTGACTGTTGCCTGACAATTCGTCAAAGGAACAATCCACGAACGATATATGGCGATGTATATGTCTGTCCGTTCAGCGCGCTATTAGCCAGCATAACATCGACCCAACTACTGTCCGGGGCATTGGGTTCGACGCAACGTGCTCGCTGGCCGTATTCTCCACGGTTACAGACGAGCCCGTATCCGTCACCGGGCCGAACTTCGATTCTGACCGCAATGTGATTCTTTGGCTGGACCATCGGCCGGTGGAAGAGACGGAAAAGATCAATGCTACCAAGCACAACTTGCTGCGATATGTCGGAGGAAAGATGTCGATCGAGATGGAAATTCCCAAGGTCATGTGGCTAAAGAACAATATGCCGAAGGAACTCTTTGACCAGTGCAAATTCTACGACTTGGCCGATGCTCTGACGCATATTGCTACCGGTAATGAAAAGCGAAGTTTCTGTAGCGTGGTCTGCAAGCAAGGGTACGTGCCCGTTGGTGTCGACGGAAGCGTGAAGGGTTGGCAGGAGGATTTTCTCACCGAAATTGGCCTGGAGGATCTTATGGAGGACAATTTCAAGCGCATGGGAGGTGTAGATGGGGTGGTGAGCCTTTTCATTTCTCCCCTCTCATCTCAAGACAAACGATCTACTTTCAGCGTTGTTGGAAGGCTGACTTGTTTCAGAACGGTGATTACCTCAGCGCGGGTGAATTAGTCGGAACATTGTGCGAAAAAGCAGCGTCCGAGCTGGGGCTGCCGGCTGGTATCGCCATCGGCAGTGGTGTTATCGATGCATACGCTGGTTGGATAGGCACTGTTGGCGCCAAAGTCGATTTAGAGGACGAACAGCTGAGCTCTGAAGTTGCCAAGAACGACAAGACACAGGCTTTCTCACGCTTGGCTGCTGTCGCGGGCACCTCAACTTGCCATATCGCCATGTCGCCGAACCCTGTATTTGTTCCTGGCGTCTGGGGACCGTACCGTGACACGATCCAGCCTGGGTATTGGATGGCGGAAGGTGGACAGTCCGCCACTGGTGAGTTGCTCAAGTATGTGATCGAGACTCACCCAGCCTTCAACCAGGCGACCTCAATTGCCGAGTCGTACAATACCAATGTCTACGAATATTTGAACGAACATTTGAAAGAGATGGCCGACGAACAGAAGGCCCCCAGCGTCTCTTATCTGGGTCGCCATGTGTTCTTCTATGGCGATCTCTGGGGTAACCGGTCGCCCATCGCAGACCCCAACATGAAGGGTTCTATTGTCGGCATGGCCAATGACAAAACTGTCGACGGCCTTGCGATCTATTACTATGCAACCCTTGAGTTCATTGCACTGCAAACGAGGCAGATCGTCGAGACGATGAATAAAGCCGGTCATAGCATCACATCCATCTTCATGTCCGGATCGCAGTGTCAGAATGACATTTTAGTACGGCTCATTGCATCAGCCTGCGACATGCCAGTCCTTATCCCTCGTTATATTCATGCTGCAGTTTGCCATGGTGCGGCGATGCTGGGAGCCAAGGCCGCGAGTGCCGACGCCGAAGGCAAAACAGAAGACCTGTGGGAGATCATGGATCGTATGAGTAAACCAGGAAAAAAGGTCGTGCCGACAGAAGACGAGAATGAGAAAGCTTTGCTCAACGTCAAGTATAAGGTCTTCCTAGAACAGTGCTACAAGCAACTCGAATATCGAAAGTTGGTTGATGAAACCGTGAGCTCGTGGAAGGCTGGTGACACATGACTTTGAGCTCTCGTTTTGAGAAACTCTTCTGCTTGGATGGGACGAGTCTCGGGTAGTTGCGAAGATCCTTTGTTTAGTTCCCCTGCCCAGGCCTTTCGATTTAAATGTTCTTCTGCTCGGACAGCGTCATTAGAGGCAAAACAATGGATCGTATGAATAATACAGCTAAATGATCTAATCTGTAGATGATTGTGACTTGCGACTACGCTGACCCCTAGGAGTGAACGGCCAACAGACAGTCCTCCGAGATGAGGATTCGTGCTCAGCACCAGCAAAGTTGCTCTTCACTGTATCACTGGGTTGGACAAAACCAGTATCCGATCACCACTTTTAATCATATTCTAATAGCGAAGAGCCAAAAGCAGATACGGCATGCATTCACCAAGCCACAGTATAACTGTACACCACTAAAGCATAGCTGGTATATCAAGTCTGCACTATCCTTGGAATCACCTCGTACCAAGGCTCAAAAACAAAACCAGAAGCCTCATACATATTAGAAAGCCATGCCGCGTGTCGGCCGACCAATCGTGCGGAAGTTCTCGGACCTGATGGGCCCAAGAGCCAGCGTGTCGAAGCGATCGACACCCATCGTGTCAACATTACTGTAGCCGGCCAAGTAGAACCCGATAACCACCACCAGGTAGGTGAGTACGAGGATTGAGCCCTTGAAATAATTGCTCTTCCCTTCTCCATACACGTAGGACAGGAGGAATACGCAGAGTATAACAGATACCATATCCCATTGGGGGAAGATAAGGCTGTAATCATCATGTCAGTCCATTCTCTTCAAGCCATCTATGCGGCCAGAGTGCAATGCTTACTTGAAGGAATGCGTCAAAAGATCCGAGGGGTCGAGGATACGGCTGTAGAGTGCACTGAAGAGGACCAATGCGGGGATCTGCAGCAGACAGACTTGCAATGCGTAGGCCGAACCGATTTCCATCGACAATGCAATGTTACCGTTCATCGCGAAGGAAATAGCGTTCTGTTCAGGAGTGAGATTCATGGTTCTGCAGGTGTTGATAGCATTGGGCTTACCAGAAATTCCGTAGTATTGGGGACCAGCGCGAAGAGGGTGATTCCGAGGAATTTCTCGTCTATGTCAACGCTCTCGAGGACAACGTCCACGGTGTTCACGAGGATCTCGGCTATGATGGCGTACAGTATTGTGGCCACGAGGAGAATGATCGAGCTCTTAGCTTTGCTCCAATTTGGCGCGTCATGACCGCCGCTAGCATTTGTGTGCTCAATCCCGACATCTTCTTGGTCCTCCAGAACGGACTTCGGAAGATCACCTGTGGTCTTATTGCTGTGACGTGCAGTGCCCTGCTGGACGGATGGCTTGCGTGTCCGAGCAACATCACGAGCAGCAACCGCCGCCGCTGTCGCTGCGACTTCGGTCACCTGACGCACCAAATCTTCGTTCTCTCCTCCAGTGTATCCTCGAAAGCCTTTGAAGCTAGAATAACCGTCCTCACCCTCCGTTCGTGGGGGGACGAGATATGGCATCGCGCCTTTATCTCGGGCCGAGCTCGACTCGGGCTGGTGTGGAGCGTCTTCATTAGCATTCTCGGACAAGCCAACCTGCTTCAGGGACTGTCCTAAGATCCTCTTATAGAGCTGTGAGTCGCGAATAGAGCCTTTAGCGTTGTGGGGCCCACCGGTGGCATTTGCAGTTCCGGCAGGGAATAGCAGATGTCTGGTTTCATAAGCCGATTGCTCCTGCTGGAGGGCCGCGGCCTTCTTTTCCTCGACTTCCGTGGCCCAGATGAGAGCAGCATGGGTTCTGAGTGTGAACCACAACCCAATTATATACGATAAGAACAGAAACAGGGCGGCAAACCATGAATAAGGCTGAACTACTTTTCGGAAGAAATTGTCGTCCACAGCTGGAACTTGAGCAAAGTAACAGCGGCGGCAGTCTTTGATACCCGAGCCCGTAGTCTCAGCACACGAGTAGCAGTTCAATTCGTGCTAAGCGAACCGGTCATTAGCAGCAACCGACAATCAGAGAATTGGAAAACATACACTGCCGTATATCTGATAGAACAGCGTGGGACCGAATGCAGCGATCACGGCGAACATCAACATGGTCGACGTAACTCCGGCAGATTTGACGTTGAATCGCTGCGTCTTGCGTTTGATAGCGCCGAAGCACATGGACAGCCCAGGAAGAAACAGTATACCCGCGAAAATACTACCAATGATACTGCCCTCGACGAGTTGTCCTTTGCCTTCTGTCAGGGCGACACAGTAAAGGTAAACTTCAACGACAGTCGAGAAGAAAGCGTTGACGGCGGCACCCATTCCCATTGATGATTGTGCAGAGATGGACGCGACGGCCTGCCCGATGAAGTAGGCGAGAGGAATAATGGAGACTAGTGCGAGTGTGAAGATGAAGCCAGGATGTGTCATCCAGTTATGCAGACCCAGCGTTTCAGCCAAGAGGAAGTAGTCGAAGATGACAAAGAGAACGACACCAAGGAGATTGATGAAAAAGATATTGGTGCCATCCACCGTATACTTCCAGTAGCTCAGCCCAGCCGCACGGTAAGTGCAAAGGAGAATCGATGAGGGGGAATCGGGACTCAGGCGAGTATAGGATGTATCAGAATGAAAGGATAAGGCCAGCGGGTGACGACGAAGATGGTCAAATAGAATGAGAGTCACGCGTCCCATGGGGATCCAGAATACAAGCAACCAGCATACCATGGACACAAATAGCATCAAAGGTCCAATCAAAAAGTAAAAGAAGACGAAGAATACGACACGTCCTAATGTCCATTCTCCGCGGCCGAACAAGCGGCGTTTCGAATGCAGATTGCTCTCACGAGGAGAGATTCTTTGCGTTCTGCCAAGCAGACTGTCCTGCTCGCTCACAGAGTCAATGCTATTGCGACGCCTACCCACGAGAGATCGGTTGCTACGGGGGCCAAAGAAAAGCCTGCCGTGCTCGAGATCACCGTTCTGCCATTGCTCATACTCGCTAATGCTGCGGCCTTCGCCCTCATCTTCCTCTGCGTAGTGTTCGTCGGTCTCCAGACGAACAAAAGACCCGAATGGATAGAGGAGGTACCATGAAAGACCCGAGAAGACTTTTCCGTACTCCAATGCGCTAGCAGAATATGCAAATATAAAACATGCGATGGCACCGATGAGCGCAGCAAGAGCGAGCCACCACCCGAAGAAAGCTGTCCACAGCAGGTTGGCCAAGAAGAGTATATTTCCTACTCGGCCGCCGGGAGACGAATGAATATCACCTTCAGCAGTCTTCTCCACAGAACGACTCTTCTTGTAGAGAGCAGGCTTCCATAGTCTGATACCGAATGGGTGCGTTTCATTGATGGCCTGTTGACGATCTTTCAGGGTGAAGCTCTCTGCATCACTCGTATCATCGTTGTCGCCATCACCGTGACCGATCCCATGTTGGGAGCTGGCTTCCGACTGCTGCGACGGCGGTCGCGTTCCTATAGCCTCCATGCCGGACTCTGGTAATAACGATTCCTCTCCGCTGTCATTGTCAGAGTCCGCTCGTGCCAACGGACTGGGTCGAGCGTTCAACCTGCGCCTCAGTGTCGAGCTCTGTTTCCTCAATGGGCGCAGTCTCGGCGAAGGCTGAGGGTTTGAGCCCTGTTGTTGCATGGCTATATCCTCCTCGACCTCCTGGACATCATCGTCTGTGGAAAACTCCTGGCCCTTATGCGGGACCTGTCGCCTTGAAGATATCCGGCGCGTCACAGATGGCTTTCTCGGCCCATCGGACGGCAACCCTGTCACAGGTGGTGACTGGGAGGAAGGTATGCGGCTGGAGATGTCGGTCTGGCTTTCATTCGGCAATGTCTCGAAGTCCATCAAATCAGAAGGGCTTATAGTTCCTAGAGACAAGGAACGGCAAGAAATAATAAGCAGATTTATTCTCTTAAGGTTACAGGAAACGCAAACACACCGTAGCTTCTCCTACTGCTCGCCATAGGTCTGGTCGGACGAATGGTATCAGACGATGTAGATCCAGTGCTTACGGTCGAGCTCAAACGCGACGTCGCTTCAGCTTCGGAGAAACGAGAGATATCTGAGACTCTCTGGCTGCTATCCATCGCTTCTCTCTGCGCCTGACTCTTTCCATTCGATTCTTGCGATCAGAGTTTATTAGGAGGCTGGGGATGGAGTACTAGGGATCAAAGATAATGCGGAAAACAGAAGCGACTCGAATGAACAAAATCAGAAACCGCTAAAAGTGGCCTGCACTTAGAATAACAAGAAGTCAGATTCTCGAGATGATCCAAAACACATTGTGTAGTGCAGCAGTGGGCATTCGCAGATGCCTGACAAGCTGTGTCGCAGAATACAGGTAGGAGCCTGAAAGTGGAATAATGGATAGATACTGGATCGCGGCCAAAAGATCTACTACGCAAAACACCTTACTAGTACTAATACGAGAGGTAGTAGACTAAAGAGATCAGGAGATAGATAGCATCATCTCACTGTAGCCCCACCGCAGTCAGCTGGGAACAGGGATGAGTTGACTGAGTGGTCCTGTAAGATGGTGTACTCTGTGTGAATATGGATGATTTCCGGCTCAATATAGGTCCTATGATTCGAGTTTGGATCTTCGTTAGGTTGGTGTCAGCCTGTCAGTTGGGTACTTGAGTCTTTAACAGCTTCCACCTAGTGTCCTCAGGATGAAAGTTGGGGCCATCTGGTGGATGAATGACTGTATCATCTGTGGTCCAGCTTTACCTAGTCAGTGCAACGGACCTTATTTTTCCCGATATTTGACACCGCCACACTCACACATCAGAAGTGTGGCTGCCAAGGGGTGGCTGGTGCTCCCTATTGCTGATATCAGCTAGGTATCTGCCTACTAACTAGGTACAGCTCACCTTCTCCTACTTGCTAGCTGCTTCCAGGACAATTCTCTCCGCCCATCCATCCATAACTCCTCTAATTCCTGTCCATCCTCACGAATTGGGCTTTTAGTCTTTGGCATACTTTATTGT